CTTGCCAGAAAAATCCCATGATAGCTTTGCCTTAAGGTCACTATAAGTCAGAAATGGCTTGATGGTGCACAGCAACAAAAAACATATTAAATAAATTAAGAAGTTTAAAAAACAGGTTAAACTGGATAAAATAGTTTAAAACAATTTAAAAGCATGTACATGCAACCATTCAACTCTGCTTCATTTCAACACATTTCTAAAATACTGATCACTCTTGTGTCAAAGTGATCACCAATCCTTGACACCAACCCTTACCATCAATCTCCAGTTCTCCATGATGGTTCCGATACCAGAGCAGCACATTCAGACGACACTTCACATATATCACAGCTGTGAACAGCAGCAGTGCCACAATGACAAGGGCAGCAAGGACAGCGCCCAAGTGTCCAGCAGTCTCTGCTGTAATGAGAAAAGACATTTTTAACAAAATTTGGAACAGTAATACAAACACAACAAAGATAGAAGAAAAGCTGGGTTCTCTGATCTCAAAAAGAAAAGTCTAGTGAGTAACATTAACAACACTCAAGTGCTATGCAATTTCTGAATAAAGACCAATCATCAAGATATTACAATATCTATCACAAGTAAACACAGTAATGAGAGGAATAAACAGAAGATATAAAGAGGAATAAACAGAAGATATAAAGACAAGTACACTTCATTTCCCCACTCACAAAACGCATATGCAGAAATGAATCAAAGGTTTTGGAAGGTATGATAGGCTTGTGGGGGGGGGGAATTAATCATATTATACTCTAGAGTCAGAGAAATTTCTTCATGCGTACACATGGGCATCTCAATTTAGATTTTTTGCTTAACCACCTGGAACGATATTATTTAACCAGGCCACTTGCAGAAAATAACTTGTTTCAGAGAGAAGAGTCTGAAGCTCTGATTACAAAACCTCTAGAAAATTCCCTTTGCCTGTTGGTGCCATCATGTGGAAATATCCTGTCATTGGACTACTGGAGGATGTTGTCAGAAGATTGTTCTTGTAAAGCCAGCATTTAGTCTCACCATCAGGCCTGAGTTTCACTTTTGGGTTACATTGACAGAGATCCAATAAATCTATCTAAGGGCTCTTTACCTATGCTACTTCAGTCAGAACACCAGCACATAACCTTTTCCTCTGAAGAGAACTACCACTTCTGAAGCTGTTTATCTGCTTTCTGTGACAATTGGACATTGCCACAAACTCTCATATATGTTACTGACATGTTACTGTTTTACAGCATAGTGCTTAATAATTGTTTTAAATTATTGTTTTAAAATTATTTAATGAACCACATAGGCTGGTTCAACATCGTTATCATGCCAAGATAAACATACTAAATGTATTTTTAAAACAAAGAAGCAAGATAGATATGGTGTAAAAGGAAAAACTCAATATTCTCCTCCGCTAAAATGGATTCTGTCAAATTCTGTCATACATGGGCTAAGGCATGTTGCCCATCAGGTTTTGATACAGAAACTATGGACATAGATTGTAGACAGAAATGTGTATGTTGTTCTCCTCCCTGAAAAAAGGGAAAAGCAGGCTGAGATACTCAATATTCTAAGCTCCCTTGAGCTTCATGCAACATTTCTGTTGTTTGAAGTCATTTGAGTTCAAAATTGCCTTCCTTCCAAACATGACTTTGACATTACGTTTCAAAGGTACCAAAACTAAATTGAATAGTAACCTCATAAAGTCGGTAAATGTAGGCCACTTTATAAACTGAGGGAATAGTGATACTGTTATGCCACTCATTTTGCCCTGGATCAAACTCGGTTCAGTTCCATGCACCCTACATCCTCCTACAGTCATCTACATTAATCCCCTAAGGAAGCTGTTTCTTATACACACATGCAGAAAACATTTAAACAAATGTTCCAGAAATAACTGGGTAACAGGTGGTTTATCTGCTGCTGAAAGGAACAACTCCTTCTCCTCTATTACCTGAAAATGAGTACTAAAAGGAAGTGTGTGTGACTGAGTTCTGGTAAAACACTTTTTAAGACATCGTATCTTACCAAATTTTATCTTTAGCCACATGAAACAGTGTACATGTAAATACATTTAGACTGTGCATATGATATTGTAATTTAAAGGTATAATTTTAATTTTGCTAGTTGTTTATATCACAACTATTGCCATTACATTAGTGATATACAGGAATTATGATTTATGAGTAACATTAGTACAAAAAAATTACTAAGGATGCAGTATGGTATGATGTGTGAGGAGTTCAATGCGGGGGGTGACACATGAGTTATCGCATCAGGTGACACCAACCCAAGTGACATCACTGCTGGTAGCCAATACATTAGACTGAGAGCATGCAGCTGCAATCTTCCAAATTGATTTTTTCTTCAAGTTCTTTATTGCTGGTTTTCATATCCTGGCTTTTAACAAATTTTAAATGATTTTAATCTACATATTGTTTAACTGCTTTTTAAAATAGTTTTTGTATATTTTACTGATGGTTTTGTATGCTTTTAATATGTTCTGGTTTAATATTCTGTAAACCTTCTTGAGTCCCTATAGTGGAAAAAGGTGAGTTATAAAAGAACAACAATAACTTTAGAAAGTTATGTTTATTACTGACTGCCACAAAGCTGCTTCCAAGAGTGGCTGACTACTCTACAAATGTTTATGTCCATCTTTAACTATCATTTCAGAGATACTAAAGGGTGTTCATCTTTTACGCTGAATGCATTTGGTGAGAGGGAGAATCATTTCTGAAGGACTTATTTAAAGAGACTGTCCTTTCTATAGACAGTCATCTACCCCATACATACATTACCTGATTTTTGCAGTGTAAAAACTGCTGTGTTGTTTCTAATGAAACAAGCAAAAACTCCATAGTTTTCTTCATCAGTCACATTGACCTCCAAAGTGCTGGAGACAAATATCTCTGTTGCATTGTCATTAAGCCTGGAAACAATAACATTTAAGTTAGCATAATGCCAAATTTTATTATTATAGAAAGATAATAAAATCTGAGAACTTTCAAGGAATTTCAATCAAATTTGGACTGAAAAGAAACTTAATGTGCTTCCACCTTACGTGGGTTTTAAGAAACACCAAAATAACCTCTAGAAGAATCTATGTTCTCGGAATACTGTTAGTTTTAATTTGTCAATCTTTTTACACAAAACTGATTTCACATGCACTAATAGAAATCTGAAGTCTTTCCAAACCATCTTAGAATTATATATGAATTGTGGTTGCTTAATTGTCTTGGGAGATCTTAATCTGTTCTTGGACTATTGCTTAAAGGAGGAGTCCCTAATCTTTTAGGCACAGTGGGCCTTCATTTAAAAGTACTTGAAGCAGTAATACAAAATGGCTGCTGTTGGGAGCATGGCTATTTTTCCCACAGTATTTTCCCTAAGTGTGTTTGTGTGTGCATGCAAATAGCTGCTTGGAGATGGTGTACACAAGGACAAGCACTCCAAATCTCAATCACAGTTCTTGAGGACAGACCAGTGTAAAGCAGAAGGATTACACTCTGGGGCTGGGAGATTAATAAGCCTCCATGTTGGTTAAATTAGGAATAGACATGATTGTCATCTCTTCTCCCTCAGGACTGGGTCTCCAAGGACCTCTGCATCTCTTCTCCATCCTTCCCCTTGGAAAGGAAAGAGAGCAAACAGAGGGCAAGGCAGAGAAATGGTTTTGTTAGCCAACAATGCCTTTCTGGCGAACAGCAAACCTAGATACAAAGAAGCTTCCCAGCAAGTCTCCTCTGCACACCCCTCCTCAATCAGCTTTCTCCAACCTGGCTCCTCACTGCCACACAAAAAGCTTACCAGGTATTGGGAACAAGTTCCTTCCCAACAACTTATTATATCATAACTTCTTTAGGCTATGAGTGTTCCCTGTTATTTAACAGCAAAGTTAAGAAGTATAACCGTGGTCTAAGTCTCAGACACCAACAAGGCTGTTCTGCCTGTCTCTCATCCTTGTGGCATCAAAGACATGCATTTTTATTTTTATTTTTTGAGACACAGCCAGCCACTCCCTTTTGGTTCCTTTCACACACTCTTTTATTGGGCTTATGTGTACACTTTCCATTTCTGTAGTACATAAAACACATCATCAGCCTCACTCCACTAAGCTAGCCCCCCAATGAAGCAGGCCAACCCTTTTCTTTGGACTATATATTTTGTAGCAAGAGAACTGAAGAATTAATCACCAAGGTAAAACTTTTTTTAAAAAAGTCTGCCATTATCTTCACAAGATCTTTAGGGGTTTTTTTCCCTGCCTTTGTATAAAATATACAGTGAAATCTTTCATCTCCATTTCACATGAAACCCTTCTTACCAATTTTTAGAAGAAGCATGGGTCTCATTGTCTAACCAGTGGTTATCTTTCATCCAGTGTAGGCCAAAGTCACAGACCCTACTGAAGGGCAGCTGTACAGTGCAGTTCAGTGTTAACTGACTTCCCAAAGCTCTCTCCAAAGTCATGTTGTTAGAGGGATTAAGGAACTTGGGAAATACCCTGCAAAGATCTGTTGGAAAGACAAGAACACATTTTAATACAAGGATCAAACTTCTAGCTTGCATTCTGTACATCCATCATTGAGTGTTTGCACAGGCTTGACTAAATTTAGCACAACTAAGGTAACAGAAATCAAACCACTCAAACCACACCTGTGATGCTGCAACCAAACACAACCCCTTTGTCTTGGTAAAGCCAATGATCCCTGCTTTTGTCATCCACAGCTTTGAACATTACAGACCTATCTGTGCATATTTTAATGTATAACCCCGCACCCCACATCCCACTACTATAAGCTGT